AACCCTTTTGAGATTTTTTTGCTAGATGAATTGTTCTGCTGTAGAAAAACAATGAGGATGATGCAGCATAGGCTTTAGGAGCAGCAAAAGTTTCTTATCCCACATTTTTCTCCTCTTTCCCTATATTCCCCTACAGAATAAATGACTGCACACATTGTTCAAATCTTAGGCCTCATTAGGCAGGTGTGGTGCACATGCCTGTGATCCCAGCATCTGGAGACTGAGGTAGGAGAAGTGCTGCAAATTCCAGGCCAGCTTGGGTTACATAGTGAGTTCAAAGCCACCTTGAACTGCATAGTGAGACCTGTCTCAAAAAACAGAAACAAAAAAACTAAGACTCTAACTATGCATTAAAATGCCACTCATTTGTGGGTAGGGGGGTTAGAGCTCTTTTCATGCAGTGGAACTGAAAGGTATGGGAGCCATTCCTAGCTCACATCCTGTCTGTTTACCTGTCTCTTTCTCATCCATTTTGCAGAAATAGCAGGTGGAGGGCTGGGGATGTAGCTCAGTGGCACTGCACCTGCCTTCTCAGAGTAAGGTCCTGAGTTCAATTCCCACTACTGGAAAAAAAAAATAGCAGGTGGGCATGGGGCCTGCTTCTCTCAGTACTGCCCAGCACAAGTGAAGCCACCCCTCTTCTTTTCTTGTTCCACTGGGGAAAGGCCATGCCTCCTCTCTTTCCCGCTCCCCATTTTCATAGACACAACAGGCCTCAGCCCCAACCCCAGCAGAGTCTGGACCAGCCCAGCACCAGGCAGTGGACATAAGCACTCTCCATTTGGCCACTGCCTGCTTCTTTTGGCTCTCGATGTCTCCTGCTCCTGTGTCGGATGGGTCGTTGGACTGAAGATTTTTGGTCCTCATCAGATTAATAAGAAAAGACTCATCCACATGGTCCAGTTCTGCTCACCCAATTCTACTCATTGAATTCCCAGTCCAAGCCCAGTGGGCAAATGGAGAATCACTCAATTCTGCAGAGTTGTTTTCCCTTATGACACATTTGGAAAATCACTTTCCCATCATGACACATTTGGAAAATCATGAGTCAAACCGGCATCTGCCAAGGACCTTTGTGTTCTGCTTCCAGGGGCTTGACAGGTAAATGCAGTACAGGATGCTGGAGTTCCCAGATCCTCCAGCCATCTTCATATCTCTGCACATGATTCCACCCTCCTCTGACATTAGGGCACTGCTGTGGTTTAGGCTCTTTATTTGCATGTCAGAGATCTTCATATAACAAAAGATGGGTGAGCTAGAAAGAACCTCCTTGGTGTGCATTCTGAGTGGGAAGCTAAGGATACCATAGTAACAGTCAGCTACAGGGCAGGCCTGCTAAACTGTGTGGTCTAGGACTTGGTACTGGAATTGTCTAGAGATCAGAGGGGACTGGGGGGCTTCATGACAAGGTAGGACTTGAATGAAGCACTTGTGACTGAACATACTGGGAAGTGCTGGGATAAGGTGGGCACACTCATCCAGCTTTAGTGCTGTCCAGACAGCAGTGTGAACAGTGCTTCCAAGTTCATGTGGCAAATTCACCCTGGTACCATGGGAGTGTGCAATGAGTGATGTGGGCAGCGTTAATCTCTAAGTGATAGAAACCATTGTTAATGAGCACTGTGTTCAGGCTCTGAGTGTCTCTACCATTCTTAGGCACAGGAGGAAAGGTGCCAGCCCCCAGGAGAAAGGGAATGGCAAGAAGAGGTCACAGTGCCCAGTCCTGCCTGAGCGGGCTTCGAGCAAGAGCCTCAGTCCCAGCAGGAAAACTAGCAATTTGGGGGGGGGGTTGGGGAACCCTCCAATTTCCTTGAATGCTCAAGAGCTCAATACTAGGTACACAGTTGCCCCGGGAGCAAGGTACCAATGCTGCCTCTGGGCCGCACTGGCTAAGCGGGCAAGGGTCTTGCTTAGAGCTGGCTCTAGGGTCAGTAGCAGCTGAGCCTGTGTCTCAGGGGATTGAGTGACATAGAAGGGACTTAAGTCTCAAGAAGATGCTCAGCCCAGTGCTACACCACAGGAGGGGCTCAAAGAACGTTGAGTGAGATGATGACTGAGGTTAGAGAAACAGAATAAATACACAGGACCCCCAGCCTCTTGTCATCAAATATCACACTGTGAGCCACAGCTAAAATCATGTAGGAGACTGTACCGGGTCCAACAAAGGCTACACTACTGCATCAAAGAGACTCCAAATTCAGAGACTCAAAAAGGAAAGACAGGGCCGGGGATTTAGCTCAGTGGTTCTGGCACCTGCCTCGCAAGGGCAAGGTCCCGAGTTTGATTTCCGGTGCCAAAAAAAAAAGAAAAAAGACATTTATTTCTCTCTGCTACACAATCTGAGCAAGCCTAAGCTACAAAGACAGCACTGCTCTGCCAGGCCTTTCAGGACCTAGAGCTTCTTTCATCTGGCTTAGGGGTGCAGTTCCCAAAGGGTGCACTGAGTTGTCCCAAGGAGGCTATGTGGGCTCACAAGGCACCAGGGGGTATTTCAGAGTTTTAAGGAAAAAGATGTGATCCTTCACATCTGACAGGGGCTGCATAAGCTGCTGGCTTGCAGTAGTTCTCAGCTTCCACGTTAGATAGCACCACTTTCCATTGGCGACACCGAGACTGTGTGAATGTAGGTTCTCAGCACTTTTGGTGATAAAAAGCAAATACTTTGAGAAAACAAATGTGGACCCAGGAACAAGGGTGGCAGTGTCCAATCCAGTACCAAGGCCTGCAGAGCCGTACAGTGCCCAACAAGTAAATTCATCCCCTTACCAAGTGGTTGCAGTTGTTTAAAGGTAAATAACGTTTTTCCTTCTGCTTATGTGAATCTGCAAATGGCTGCTAAGTGTTAGGGGATCACTCCCCATGGGTCGCTCACGGTTTCGCACACGCCACAGGCAGAGGTACTGCCTGCCCTTAGCCAGACTCGTCCAAGGACACGTGCAGAGTGAGCGGCCTCGGAGGCACAGAGTGCGACAAGCAGGTCTGTTACTGTTCAGCGTAACAAAGACAATGTCCCTTCCAGGCCAGGTGACCATCTTGTCACAACCACTGCCTGTTCAGGTGTCACATAGCCCTTCTCAGGGAGCCCTGTGGGAACTGGGACTCAGAAAACCAGAGCTTGTGATGACACTGATTCTTGCTGCTCCTGTGATAATAAATGCCTTCATCTCAGACCCAGGAGTCTTACATCTTTTGTTAATATCTATGTCTTCTTAGCTCACAAGCAGGATCAAATCTAGTCTTTACATTTTGTGACACCACGTTGTTAGGACTTAAATATTTATTAGGCATTTGGAAAAAAACTACTTAATAAACTAAACTATTGGGTACTTCTTTTAGCTCAGAAACGCCAAGATAAAATCCCTGAGACAATAGGGTGCCATGCATGGAGAAGCTTGGAAACTTCTGGCTGAGTGCTTTGCTCTCATTTGCATGCTTGGGGGTGAAACCCATCACTTTCCAGTGGGCAGGGAAGGAAAAGGAGGAAGTCCAGGGAAGCAGTCTTTTTGTTAAAGCAGACTTTGTGCAAGTCACACACTTCTCTCCAGCTCACGGTGCATTGGTAAACAGGCATGTGGCTGCAGCCAGCCAGGAAGGAGGCTGGAAAGTTGACTCAGAGGAGTCCCCGTGCCCAGCCTAGTGTCCACATCCCCACTTAAAATCTGCCTCGATGGGAGACAAGATGGGCTTCAGCAGCAACTATGATTCCCTTCACAGATTGACTTCCCCATGGTTAGTTACTGCTGCCTGAAATAATCCTGCAGCAGGAGGATGACTATATTTTACAACAATTCATTATATGTTTCATAAAGAACTAGAAGAGAGAGGTTTGAAGGTTTTCAACACAAAGAAATGGTAAGTGTTTAAGGAAATGAAAATGTTAATCACCCCAATTTGATCATTACATGTTGTATACATGTATGGAATTATGTATACATTATAGATTTATTTGTATTACTTATTTATTTGAAGTAGCAGGGATTAAACCCAGCACCTTTGCATTAAGCTGCACCCCAGCCCTTTTTTATTTTGAGACAGGGTCTCACTAACTTGACCAGGCTGGCCTCAATTTTTCGATCCTCCTGCCTCAGCCTCCCAAGTAGCTGGACTATACAGGGGTGCACCACAGCACCCAGCTAAAAAAATGTCTAAATCCTAAAAGAAAGAAAGTACTTTGAGATGAGATGTGGAAACAGTCTTTTCATGTCTTCACTATGAGCAGGCTCTGTGCCTCTTTTATCTGAGGCATTTGCTTCATTTGTCTGTAGTTTTCTCCCTTCCTTTCTCTTGGTTTCTTGCACCAATCCTGTGATGCCGACCCTCCAGCGGCGGGCTCTGAGGTGCTGGGGTGCACACTGTGCATCCTAGGTTGGGAACTCTTGGTGAAGGGTGGAGCCACAAGTGGGGCAAGGCTGCGGGACTCACAGTGCAGCCAAGCCGAGGAGAGTGATGACACGGTGCCCAAAGACCAGCACGTGCAGATCCAGGCTTTGACACAGTTGAGGTTTAAAAAACAGCATAGAAAGTTATGAGTTCAAAACTAGGTATATAGGAAGATGTGAAATAATTATTTAGTTAGAATAAGTAAAGAAACCACATATAAAAAGAAAACCATATAAAAGAAATCAACTATAAAACTGCTGCAAATATTACAAACATCAAATTTATAAAAACACATTTTTATTCATTAACTGTCCAACATGCCTCAATAATTTAGGGGGGTAATCTTTATGATTGGTGTTTTTTTTTTCAGACAAAAAAAATGGTATGTAAGTCAGGCTGGCCTTGAGCACACTATGTGGCCCAGGCTGGTCTTGAACTTTCGACAATTTTCCTGCCTCAGCCTCCTGAGTGCTGGGATTACAGGCATGAGCCACCATGCCCAACTATGATTGGTAATTCTGAAAAAAACCCCACAAAATTCATCCAAAATTGAGGCATACAGAAAAAGAATTTTAAATTTTTCTTGTATTGAATGACACACATATAATCAAATTGCTTTTGCATTACTTGCATGATTTATTATTGAATAAGCACAGAAGTTTCAACACAGGAGTGTTTGCTTCTTCACGCCACATCTCAGTGTCTGGTGAGGTTGCGTGTCTTTCATCAACCAACAAGCCATCCACAAAAGTGCAGCAGATAGGCGGAGAGCTGAGCTGATCCAACGCAGAAGGTCCAGGACTTCACACACAGTCTGCTTGTTGCTGATAACATGCCACAGGGGTATGCCCTGCAGATCAGGCCTTGAGACCAACTCTGTTTTATGAGATTTCTGTCAAAAAAGAAATATTCATTATAATCATGTTATAATATAACTAGTGATCAGATATGCTATACTCTCGAGTGTATTTTTTTGAAAACATTTTTCTTTTTTTAGTTAATTAATTAATTAATTTTTTGGTATGGGGGATCAAACTCAGGTCCTTGCGCTTTCAAGGAAGGTGGCAGAACCACTGAGCTAAATCCCCTGCCCTCTAGCATATTTTTGACAGTAGCAAAACTTCTATTTTAACTATGTATCAATGAGAACCAGTTCTTCCACTACATTTGCACCTATCTGATGATCAGAATAACTTTCTGAAGAATAGTTTTTGGTTTCATTTATTTTAAGCCTATTTCCCCTCCACTGCTGCCATGTATTTCTTTTTCTTGGTACCGGGGATCGAACTCGGGTCCTTGCACTTGCACAGCAGGCGGCGAAACCACTGAGCTAAATCCCCAGCCCTGCTGCCATGTATTTCAGATACTGGGTCCTGTGGGATGTGTTCAGATCACAGTTTGTCCCTTGGCCCTGCACCTTTGGTTTCTGACACTGGGTGAGTTGGTGCCACAAGGTTAGAATTTCTGGACCATTCTCACATCAAGAGTCCTAGGAAAACCTAACTACAACTGGGGGTGACTGCAAATCCTATATGTATATGCTGTTCAATCCAAACTCATTGTATTCCCAATTCAACTTCCTTTAGTCAGATATCAAAAATGCCTAGCACCAACTCCTTACTACTCAGTTGATGGGAAGTCAGAGAGAAAGCCAGTGATCTCCATCAATTGCCACTAAAATCTCTTTATTTTACAGATTTTATAAAAGCCTATGGCTATTGGAAGACATTGTTAGGGGTGTGGGAAGGGTATCGGATGGGGTAGGTACTGGTGACAGCTGACCACCACAGGCTTCCACTGGCTGTAGCTTGAGAGTGACCCAAGCAGATCCATCCACAAACCAGAGCAATTCTGAAGGCCAGACATCATTTAGTGTTCAGAACTGTTGTATTCATTACACATTAAATCCTCAGAGCAGCCCATAGATTGCTAAAAAGGAACTCTGCCCCTGAGCCACATTCGCAGTCCTTTCAACTGTATTTTGGGACAGGGTCTTGCTAAGTTGCCCAGGCTGACTTCAAACTTTCAATCTTCCTGCCTCCGCCTCCCCCATGGCTGGGATTACAGCCATGTCTCACCCCACTCAGCAAATCAGAAGCCTTCTGACTTCACCATTCATGTTGTTTTCACTTTACTACACCAGAAAAGAATCCAACAAGAAATCTTTGCATCACACACCTTAACTGTTCAATAAATATTTATGGGGCAACCGAAAGGAAAGAAGTAGAGCAGGAACCAGGAATCCTTTAAAGCAACCAAGGAAAGATAGTCCTTCTGCAGGCAGAAAGGGGCCCAGGCCCCACACTTCCTACTGGAACAGACATATTCCCCACATCTCCTCAGATGTTCACTTTTTCTCCTTACTCCATGGCCTCCTCCGTGATAAATGAGGACAGAGCCCGAGTGGCAACACCACACAGGCTCTGGGTCCTTGTACTCCTGTGAAACACTTTCCACTTCCCACATTAAAGTGGGCAGTGAGTTGGGGTTTCCACTCCACCTGGGGGGTGGAATGATGGGAAGAAGATGGATGAGCCCTAATTAGGGTTAATTGTGTCTTTGGTAAATGAAGACTATGCACCTCTGTCGATTCTGATGAATGTGCTCTTCACCAGTGAACGCCTGTTGCTTAACTGGTTGTTTGGGGGTTGGAGGAGGCAGGCAAGGAAGTCTGGGTTTTAATTTAAAGATCTGCTGGATGATCTCTATGGCAGATGTCATGAGGTTGGCTTTTCTGCTTTGTCAGGTCTCAGCCAGGAAGAGGCTTTTAATGTTGAGCTCCAACACCTGAAAGTGGATGAGGTGATGGAAAGTTAGGAAATCTCGAGGGTGTCTGGGATTTCTGACAGCCCAGTGTCCACCCTGCAATAGGAGGGCAGAGAAGGGCTTGTTTAAAGCCAGGGCCCAGTTACTTGGAGAGTTCACTAGTTGGTCTCAGTCAGGGGGATGTGGTCAGTTCCAAATCATTTCTGTCAATGCTCAAACCTTCAGCAGCTTTTTGCAGCCCGGGGAATCAAAACCACACCTCTGTAGCCCAATAGGCCGCCAGTGTCCTGGCTTCCTCCCTCCCTCTCCTTCACTTCCTGTGCTCCAGCCACACTGGGGGCTTCTCCTGGTCCTCCCCGAGCCATCCTTTCTGTCTTGAGCCTTGCACGCACCATTCCCCTGGCCTTTCATCTCCTTAGTTTCTTCCGATCTCTCAGTCTCAGCTTAGGTTCACTCTCTTGGAGTTAACCACTTTATCTAAAGTAGCAGGCTCCCCACTCCCTGCCATCCTCACCTGCCATTATCCACTGTTTCCTCCCCCGCTCTCCAGTCTACTATGTAGTGCAGATTTAGTTGTCTCCTTACTTGTCACCTGCTTCTGAACTCACAGGCCTCCAAGCTCCATGAAGGCCGAGGACTTCTCTCAGCTACCAGGGTATCTCCAGGTCTCCAAACAGTGTCTAACCCATGGTTGGTGACCAACAAACGCTGAAAAAAATTGTTTCCCTCAGGACAATGTCTGATTGAGCTGTAAAAGATTTATCTTGTTGCTGGTGTGGTTTTCCAATTCCCAGCCTCTTTCTTTGCTTTGCCATTCAGGTTAAGGCTTCTGTCCATCAGAATGCAAAGACTGAATGAAGGGGGGCCGGATGGGCTCTGTTGGAAGCCTCTGCTCTTATGCACCAGCACACGGAGGGAGCAGATGTTTTTGCAGCTGGTGAAACTACCTGTTTCCTGAGGGTAGGGTGAACCCTCTGTGTCGGGTTGGACAGGACCTGCTTCTCCCATAGCGCAGGCACTCTGGATGCTGGCAGGCACAGCTTTGGGTGGACTGGAGCCAGAAGTGTCAGAGCGAGAGGAGTACTCAGCTGGGAAACACCGCTCCAGCCAGGAGCAGAGCCAGTGCTGAAAATTCACTCGGAGTGAAATCCTAGCAGCAGAGAGCCCCGGGAGCTGGAAAGACAGAAATTCCCATCCACACAGGATCCACTGGAGCCCACTGCACCTGTGCTGGCATCTCCAGAGCCTTGCCATGAAGATGTAGCTGCTCTGACCATCAAGAGCGTCTGTTCAGGGAGGACAAGGAGAGCAAGCAGGATGACAATGGCACACATGGGATGCAGAGCAGACACCAGCAGGCTGCTTGAGAAGCAGAGAAGACATGATCTTTCCCCTTCACTTTCTTAAGCATTAGCTACAGTAAAATCTAAACAAGCTTGTGGTTTCAAGCCTTAGCTCAAGAGAAGGTAACCTCCTCTGAGCGTGCTGGTAAGGGCCAGGGCAGTACAAAGTTCACAGCATGGATGAGGGGATGGAAAACCTCAAGGACTCAGAACAAACTACATGGAAAACATTCACCAGGGAGTAAATAGAACCTAGCAGTCAATGACCCTGAAGGAAGAAAAAGCTATGCCTCAAAAGACCCAGTTCATCAACACATGTAACCTGAGCCCTCATTCAGTGCAGCTGCCACCTTGGCACTTGCCTGCCTTCATGCTTGAAGGTGTGTTCTCTCTCCTCTATCTCTCTGAAAATCTACCATTTAGCAATAAACTCTGCCTATGCTTTATAGGACAGCTGGCATGTGTTGTCTGACAAAGAGTTTTATGGCCATTTCCTCATGGGATGAAGACTCAGCTTCCAGGCCAGGGGGAAGGGCCACTGTGGTGTCTCTGACTCTGGAGGTGACCATCTCAGCCATTCTTCTCATCCCAGAGAGAAAGTATTATCTTCTTGTGAGCACTCACAGTAGATGGTTAAAAGATTCTAATCTTGTCCCAAGCATGCTACTCACTTTGCCAAGTGGACAAGAAGCTCGGGTTCCTCTTCTTTATAGAAGAATTTTTAAATTGAAATTTAAATTTGTTTTATATGGTAAATTTTTGGTTTTTGGTTTTTGAGACAGGGTCTTGCTATGTAGCTCAGGCTGGCCTTGAACTTACTATGTAGTCCAGGGTGGCCTCAAACTCAAGGCAGTCCTTCTGCCTCAGTCTTAGCCTCCCAAGTGCTGAGATTATAAGTGTGTGCCACCATGCCCAGCATACCATGGTAAAATATTTATGATATAAAATTTATTATTTTAACCATTTTATGTGTACAGTTCAGTTCTGAAAATCCCTGTTTGTGTCTTTACAAGGTATGCTAAACAATACAGTGAATGCTGCTGCTGTGTGTCAGCCAGTTGAAAGATGGGCTTGTAAAAACATCACAATACGACCTCATCCACCTTATCCACTGGACCTGGCACTGTGTGACTTCTAGCTCTTCCCCAAATTCAAAATGACCATGAAAGGTAAAAGACTGGAATCAATTCAGGACACCAAGCCAGCCACAACACAGCAACTGTGGACACTACTGAAAGAGGACTTGCAGAACTGCTTCAGAAAGTGAAGAACAATGGGATAAGTGTGTTCAAGGTGAGCAGGATTCTGAGAAGGATTAAAGGCAATGTCTCTTTTACTGTAATACATTTAAAAAATTTAAACATTCTCTGTATTTTTTAAAATCAGACCTCCTATAGCATGGTGTCTGGCTCAATGACATATTGAATGTTTTTTAGTTGAATTGATGTAACTGTCTGTCCTGTTTGACATGCTCAGAGCCCACTCCCTCTGACGGTCATGGGTGACCACGTTGCCAAGCATGAGATCAGACTGGTTAAAGGTGTTGGTGCCAGGTAACACCCAGAGCCTGCCTGCTTGTGGGCTTTGATGAAATCCAAGCTGTGGAATGCACATGACCATGACTGCCCAGGTCAAGGGCCCTGCCTGCACCATTGCTCATACCGCCCTCTCTTTTCCGAGGAATGCATCTTGTGCCATCTCCAGCTGTTCCCACAAAGGCTGTGAAATGGGTCGGCATGGGGATGGGGAAAGTTTGATCAGTGTTTACTAAAACACAGTTAGATGGGAGCCAGAAGTGCTGGGGTACCATTGCATAGTAGGGTGACTACACATAATGATTATGTACTGTACAGTTCAAACAGCTAGAAGAAAGGACTTTAAAAGATTTTACCACAAAGAAATGATAAATGTTTGAAGAGATAAATATGTTTAACATGATTTAAACATTATATAATACATACTAATAATATATTTGTATGCACAACTTTTGTTTTTGTATAAAAACATTTTTTACACAAAAAAACATAAATTTTTCCCTAAAAATTTTAAAGACAGAAAAAAAGTTAACATATTAATAAAAATAGAGGAAAATTTAAAAATAAAAGTTAAAAGATGTGAGATGATAAATTAGATAATAAATTGGGACAAGATAGTGCCAAAAACTTCATTTCCAATCAATTACTGAATGTTGACATGAACATGTTCAAGGCTATGCTGGAGAAAAAGTAGAGCAAGCAGGGTCCTTGAAGAACCCAGGGAACACTGAGCTATATCCTCAGCCCTTATTTATGATTTTATTTTATTTTTATTTTTTGTGGTTAACAAGCAATTGCCTCATTGTAATTAAAATCAGTTCAAAAAAATCTAATCTATGAACAAAAAATTCCATATTCTCTACTAGAGACTATAAGAATCAAGTATTACATCTAAATATAACTTCAAAACAATAAATTGAAATTAGCTTCCAAACAACTCTGAAATGGTTAATTCTATCTAGGCTGGTAACAAGTTTTGCCAAGCATTAAATGCCAACATAAGCAAAATGCATAGTTGAAAAATGGGGATCAGACCCCTTCTTCTTCATACATCGTAAGATGATTGATATACTTAAAACCTGCAAATTCATATCCATCAAGCTCCCTCACAGTGTCATTATCATCTGGGGTGAGCTGGACAGGTTGGTTAGTAAATTCAGGATCAAAGTTGTCCAAACCAAATCGCTCAGAGATATTTGGTTTAAACGGAGGCACCACCTACTTTTGCTCCATCATGTCCCAGTCCACATTTTGAAAGAATGGACACTCCTGAACATCAGCAAAGCCCCTGTAAGGATAAAAACCCAGTCATTCTTTTGGGTCCCTGTTCAGAAAACCCTCTAGGATACTTGCAGCTTGTACAGACAGACAAAAAAGTATGAAAATGTCTCTTTCCAAAATTACTTGGAAGAGATTCTCGATTGAGTCTTCATAGGGGATATCAGAGCACTCATCAAGATGGAATGGAGACTCTCTGATCATCATCATATACATTAGCACTCCAAGAGCCCACCAGTCCACACTGAAACTGTAATCTTCCTCTCTTATAATTTCTGGAGCCACAAAATGAGGAGTCCCACAAAAAGTGTGGGTCATGTCTCCTGGCTGTAAGCCTTCCTTACTCAACCAATAATCGGTGAGTTTAATGTGCCCTTCTGAGTCCAGTAATACATTTTCCATTTTTAAATTTCTGTGAATTATTCCTTGATAGTGAAGACAGTTGACTGCTAAACTGATTTCTGCAGAGTAAAACCTGGCATGTTCTTCAGGAAGCATGCTTTGTTGCTGCCCATGAAACAGTAGATCTCCCCCACTGACATAGTCTAGAACAAGGAACAGTCTGCTTTCTGTCTGGAAGCAAGCAAGCAGTGCAACTAGAAAAGGACGATTGAATGTCTGCTGTAGAATGTGCCTCTCTCTCTGTACCCGATGAATGTAGAAATGCTCTTTTTTCACTGCTTTCATGGCATACATATGATCTGATTTTTTCAGCTGGACTAACAGTATTGTCCCATAACTTCCTCTGCCAATCACACAGAGCAAGTTAAAGTCCTTGAGACCTAAACCAGATGAAACTTTGCCACTTCCCCCGGTGTTCCTTGCCTCATTCTCTTCATCAATTTGTTCTAAAGCCTCATGAGTTGAAAGGTTATGTGGGATCTCTGTGTGTGCAGGGGCTGAAGCCATGGATGATGAATCGACTGGCATTGTGGGCTCTGATGGTAAAGAATGCTGCCCACATTCAATTGTGACAAGTTTGTGGCACTTCTTGTGAACTGAAAGTTTGCAGTTGGTGCACTTATACACCTGGCGGCCAAGTCTCCCTACACGATCTGTGCAGACAGCACAGCTAGTTCGCCGGCTGAAGCGTTTGGCCTGAAAAGTGTGACCATTCAAATAACACAGCTTTCTCCAGCAGCCTGCAGCTCTGTGGTGGATGGATTTCTCCTCTCCTGGACAAGGCACTTTAGGATGTTCTGGTATACAAGGCGATGAATGAATTAAGAGTTCAGAATCTTTCTTTAGCTCAGAAAGACTAATGGCCTCTTCTAACTCCAACTGAGGTGACACAGTATATGGGTCTCCTTCCTCTTCTACCCAATGTGTGGTGAAAAGCTGTTTATTGCCCAAACACCACACACCTAGATCTTTATCACACAGGCCCCCAAAGGAGATGGAATTCCTTGTCATGATGTCTCTTCCCAAAATCAGGGCAGATCGGGTAGAGGTGTGGGTGGTGGAGGTGCCTGGGAAGAAAGGACCATAGATGGGTTGGCTGCCCAGGGAAACAGGCAGGCAGGGCTCAGAGAATGAGAGGGACCACACGGGCCGGAATTCTGCAAGGCTCTTTATGAAGTTGTTTCCAATAGTGGCAGCCAGGCCTGGATGGATGTACACCAGGCTTCTCAGTGTCTCTCGGGGGCCAGTGGCTGTGACTTCAATCTCCCCCCCCCGGATTTTGACTCTCTAGGTTTTTTGTGCCTGGCTCTGGGGAGACCTGCCCAGAGCTACTGGGTGTTTCTGGGCCTGGTGATACTTGCCCCGTGCTCTTTCCAGTTTCTATGCCATTGGTATTTGGGCTTAGGGAGACTTCACTGGGGTACCTTGATTTTGGTAGGTCACTGGTGGTCACTCCTGGGGAGACCATCCCTGGGGTGTTTGTGACAGTCATGCGGCATCTGGATGGAGTCAGCTGTCTTCTTAATCTTTCACAGATACTTTCTCTACCTGGGGTCCTGAGGCTGTGGCCTCTCAAAGTGGAGAAGCAGCTCAGCATGTTTGCTGTGGACCATCTCCAGCCAAGTGAGCTTGGGAGACAGCTGTTACTAGATTGTGACACCCATTAACAGGGTTCCAAGTTCTGTTTGGAGATGTTGCCAAGGAAGTGAGCTCATGTCTTGGGGTTCCATAACCTGAGTCTCCATGTAATAGAAAAACCTATAGCCCTGTAGGGATAGAGACCCCTAGGCAGGGAGAGATGAGCCCCTCCCCAAA